GGCGTACGGGGCCCCAACTCCGAAATGGGCGCTCTTACCCGCGTGGTACCTACAGAAGGGCCCGCCAAAACTTTTTTTAGGTAAGTTGTCAACTCGGGAACCTGAGAAGCTAGAAGGCTGAAATTTTAAGGGGATGTTCCCCGCCTAAGTAGGTATTAAGGAGTTCAATCCCCACTCTCAGGTATGCGTGATACTCAAGTACGGGCCCGCCAAAATTTTTTTGGGTAAGTTGTTGACTCGGGAACCTGAGAAACTAGAAGGTACTAATGTACTAATATACATTAGTACCTTCTAGCTTCTCGTCAAATAAGGTACTAATGAACTCAAGCCCAGCTCCCGGCTATGCGCTGTACCCACGTACGCGCCAAAGTTTTTTACGGCAAGCTACTAACTCGGGAATCAGAGGAGTTGGAAAGCTGAAATTTTAAAAGGAAGTTTCCTGTCTGCGTAAATCTTAAGTTCAAAACCAGACCTCGGGTATGCATAGTATCCTCATGCGGACCCGCCAAAATCTATTCGGGTAAGTTGCTAACTCGGGGACCTGAGAAGCTAGACGGCTGGGATTTTAAGGGGATGTTCCCCGTCCACGTAAGTCTCAGTGAGCTCAAACCCAGTTTTCCGGTATGCGTGATGCCCACGTATGGGCTGGTGGAAATTTTTTTCGGGTAAGTTACTAACTCGAGAATTTGAAAAGCTAGAAGATTGTAATTTTAAGAGGATATTCCCCGTCCACGTAAGTCTCAATGAGCTCAAACCTAGACACCGGGCATGCGTGGTACCCACGTGCTGGCCCGTGAAAGCTTTGTTCGGGTAAGCTGCTAACTCCGGAACCAGGAAAGCTAGGAAGTTAAAATTTTAAGGGGGTGTTTTCTGACAATTCTGACGGCCAACCTTAATTTTCTAGCTAGAAGCATTTGCTGGATAAACCGGTGCCGGTAGCGACAAAAACTGCTGTGAAACTATGCAAAAAACGCATCTCCGCACGGGCAGTCTGTGCGCTGGCCAATTATTTCATATACTGCCCACAAGAAGCAGTCAGCCGCTCATTTGCGCCGGTTATCTGTACCTCACTGAGCTCAAAATGA